GGTAGATTTGTCTGCACCATCATAGACCTAACCATTTCCAATAGGGTTCTATTCCTTCTTTCTGCAACCCCATTTTGTTGCGGAGTACCAGGAATAGTCAATTGTCTTACAATTCCCTTTTCATCACAAAGAGCCTTGAATTGCTCAGATAGATACTCACGTCCGCGATCGGTTCTCAACGACTTTATTGTTTTGTTCAACTGATTCTCTACCAAAGCTATAAACCGCCTAAAGCAATCCAATGCTTCGGACTTATGAGAGATCAGAAAAACATAACCGAAACGCGTGAAGTCATCTATAAAAGTGATGAAATATGCCTCGCCCTCACATTTAAAGGACCACAAATGTCAGAATGTATAAGTTGCAATGGAAGTTCAGCTCTGGTTCCTTTACCAAATGGTTTTCTAGTTATTTTTCCCGCTAGACAATGCTCACATACAAGTAGTTCAACATTAGCGAGTGACCCCAAAAGGCCTTCTCTTGCTAATCGTTTCATTATTTGTAACCCAATGTGACCCAGTCTAGCATGCCAAGTACTTGCATCAATCTCCACATTACTAGAAGATGCAATTAAAGAAAAACAACCATTAACATTAACTTTGTACACATCATAGTCAATGTCTAATACCATAAAACCATTCAATACATAACCAGAACCGTAATAAACTGTTCCAAACAAAAAGTCAACACAATCATCATGAAAATTAAAAACATAACCTAAGCTAAGAAGAACAACTACAGAGACCAAGTTTCGCCGAATATCTGGAGCATAGAGGACATCATGTAGGAATAGGTTTCGACTACCACGAAAGGTTAATTTACACGTGCCGATACCGTTCACTTCAACTCTTGAGTTATTTCCAACATATATCCATCTTCTTCCAGGCTGTATCCGATGATACTCCACAAATGCTCCTCAGTCTCTAGCTACGTGGTCTGTTGCTCCTGCGTCAACAGTCCACATTGGATAAGATTCAGCAAGCATTACAGTGCTAGAAACAAAAGCATTACTCAAAGTAACGGAGTAATGTGGTACCTTTTTCGGCTCAGTGCATTCACGAGCGAAGTGGCCCAGTTTACCACAATTGTAGCACATCATCTTGGCCTTGTCCTTCTTCCCGCCGCGCTTCTTGCGTCGGAAGGTCTTGGCTCTCTTGGGTGCCTGATCGATCTCTTTTCCTTTGTTGTTGAATATATGGTTCCTCTTGCGCTTAATGCCCGAAGCTTTGCCCGAACCTGATTCAGCAACATAAGCATGGGTAGAGGATTTTACAGCCTCTAGGCGCTCATCTTCTAATTCCAAATGACGCGCAATATCATCAAAAGTGACGATATTCTCATTGTGCGTCATATTGATTATCACATGTTCCCAGCTATCAGGAAGAGACCTTATAATAGCCTGAACTTGCTGTTTGTCAGTTAAGGTATGACCTGCCGACTTTAGCTCACGTATCATGTTTGACATCTCTCGAAGATGCTGCCTCATAGATAGATTTGAGCGCTTCCGATATGTGTCAAATTTGATGGTGAGCCTCCTCAATTTAGTGGCAGACGTACCCCCAAACTTATCTTTTAATGCAACCCACATTGCTTGAGTTTTGTCATAACTTTCAAACTCACACATGAGATCATCTTGCATACAACTCAGCAACGTGATGCGAGCAATGCTATTTTTCTTTTTCCAAGCTTGAAAAGCTTCTTGATCTCTTTTGTGTTGAGCAGAAGTTCCATGCTCAGGTTCATCCATGGTGTGGTTGAGGGTTTCCAAAACCTCTTGCTCCTTCAGGATATATTGAACTTTTCGGTGCCAAATATCATAATTGTCACCGTTCAGCTTCTCACCCTTATTGAGGTCAACCACAATGGTCTTGGATGCCGAAGCCATAATCACTATCTATTACACATTGACATAATAAACGCAAAATCAATACTAGTACATTTTCCACATAAACACACATATTTTAATTTGCAGCAAAGACAAACTAAATTAATGATAATTTAACAAAAGACACCAAAATGAAAGTTCACAATATTCCCAATCAGTTTCGGCGTACGATTGTTCTACTATCATTAACTTGTTTAATTTGTGCAAATTTTAAGTTCTAGGTGAGAATTTCTACTAATTCTACCAACCTACGAACTCCCACTAGAAAAGATAATTCACAAAAATTATTTAAAACAATGTTCACATCCTTTCTAGCAATCATATAGCATGGCATGATGTAAATCAACAAATAGAACATTCATGCAACAAATATAATCAATAGCGGAATTCATGACGTAATGAAAAAAATAAGGATCTCTGGCCATTATTTTAGTATGCTCAAAATTAGGAAATTGCAAGCACGTCAAACCATATAAATATGCCATCAATGAACCATGCTCTACATAATCTTTTGTGGTCATTTACATGTAAGCCAGCTTCTGTATTTCCAAAACCATAGGGAAATACAAGTAAAATGCAATAATACCCCAAAAATACACGTATTTAAGGTTCCGTATGCATTTTTATACCTTTAAAAGCTTCAAACATATAAAATAACTATACCACAATGTAGAAAATTTGAATACGAACACAACTGTACCAACCACGCTCCAATCGGAGCTCCCACGCGCCCACACACGCCACCTAAGTGTGCGACGCGTGTGGCGCACGCGCCTGCCTAATACTGGCTTCTGAGCCGGTCCGACCGGTCCAACTGGTTCGACCGTTGACCGGTCCGACCGGTTTGACCGTTGACCGGTCACAGGTCGGGTCTCGGGTCGAGTCGGGTCTTCGGTCGGGTCGGGTCTCCGGTCTGGTCGGTCACCGGTTGCCGGATGTCGGTCGGCCGGCGAGATGACGTCATCAATGACGTTTGCGTGTCGTTACCGACAGTTTTGCTGACGTCATCGATGACGTCAGCACGCGCCGGTTGGTGACGCGCGCATGGCCTTCACGCTCTAGCAGTGCCAGCGCTTTGGGCGTGTGGCTCCCACACGCCGCGGCTTCTGGCTGCGCGTGTGGCTCCCACACGCCGCGGCTTCTGGCTGCGCGTGTGGGCGCGTCCGGCGTCTTCCGGCGACGCTCGACCCACCGTTCTGCTCGTCTCGACGAGTTCTTCAATTTTATAAAATAAAAAATAATTTTCACCGTAAAGAATTTTTCGAAAATCATCCGAACAGAATGGTCGCCCGTAACATTCAAACCCGTTCTTCGATTCAATTCATGTTCGTTGATTCATCTTGCAATTCCCGAGCAATGAACATGCAGACAGTATGAAGTTCATCATCATGATCTCCATATCAAACAGCAAGCAAAAAAAAATCAACGGGAAAACAAGGCAGAAATCATAACTGAGGCTCTAATGCCAATATTGGAAGCAAGTGTCGGGTCAATTGACTAACCTGTTCGATGCACTACGAACAAAATTTCCAAGATCGCACGTTGAATCACCAGCAAACGATGAACGAATCTGCTTCACGTTGGTCCGAATACAATCACAGGGAAAGTATTCTTGTTCCACAACGTTAATGCCGATTGTCTTCTCAAAGTAGATACGGAATCCTTATACGTCGAGAGAGAGAGAGAGAGAGAGTTCTAATTATCTCTTGTATATGGTTTCATCTTCTGAGGAAGTTATCTTAACTTCCCTTAAGAAACTCTCCTCGCACCTCTTCAAAAGGTGTCTCTCAGACACACTTCTTATTAGAGCAAATGGTGTCCCTTAGACACACACATCATGGGCGGACCGACGAAATATAACACAAACAAGACAATGTCGGATGATTTGGACAGCACCAATCTATCGACTTCGAATCTATACCATTTCAATTTTCTCAAAATTTCTGTATTCTCTAGCAAGTATCATTTCCTATGCTTTGTGGTTTTGTCGTCTGTTGAATCTGATGACTCTTTGTACCTTAACTCTTTCCTTTTTCATCTATTCGTTGTCCTGAACAAGCAGGATTTTCGAACGAGTTTTTACGTGGGGAACGAGGTCAGCGGAAGTGTTTCCTTTTCGATAAATGCGACGGCAGAGAGATTTTCCATTTCCCGACTAACAAATGTCATGCACTGACAGAGCTAGACGCCTTATGTCCTTTTTGACCTTGCTGATTAGATTAAAACTCAAAGCATGAAGAGAAAGCAAGATCAAACAAGAATTATTTTCTCATGAGAACATCAAACAATGATTATTTGCGGACGCTTGCACTTGCTTTCCACATTATGAAAGAGAAAAAAGGGTAATTACCAATGATTTCAGACTACAGGGGGAATGGAGAACTTTAGTCCTAATTTTGCTCTTTTCATTGGCATCTTGGAAAGTGAGAGAATTCAGATTGACAAAGTACTATGAAGTTTCGATGGGCCACATGGAAACTTGTCCACCTAATCTATCAAGTTATGATTTTGGGCTGGAATTCGTAACATCCAAGCAAATAACTATTTCCAAATATCCAATTCATCGGCTTTTAAAAAGGTCCAATGTTTTCTTTTCTTCCAGAAGAGACTTCTTTACTTGTCGATATGGATAAAGTTACATACATATAGGTAAGGAGAAGTATAAACCAAGTGCATTCTCCAGAGCAAGCACTTTGTCAAAGAAGACTGATTCTCTTCTGATTTTTATGCAGACAATACTATCTACTAGAGTTTCCATATATAACATAACAGATAACACATCAACTGTGCGTTGTTAACTTGGTGTGCACAAAATCTCGTGGATATTCACCGACCCTCGACTAAGGTAATAGTTAAGTCGTTTGTTTCGCTGTCTATTTGATCGTGAAACCTCTCTGTGTAAAATCCTGGTTGCTTGGGCTTCAACAGCGAGGTGCTCTCGCTGTCCAACATCAGAAGCACAGATGACATAGTAGGCCTTTGTTCCGGACTTTGCTGAACGCACAAGAGGCCTATCTGGATGCATCTCATAACTTCCGACATTGGAAATGAATCTTCCATTTGTTCATCTATGAGTTCGATAGCCTTTCCTTGAAGCCATAGTTTCCATGCCTGAAAGTTGCGGAGTTTTAGGCAATTTTATTCCAGAAGCATCAGAATATGAAGTAGAAACTTAGAGTGTAAGCTGACATGTCCAAGAAGGTTGAGATTGTGATCATGATGATGAAATTCTCTGTTCCTCCTGCCGCTTATTATTTCCAGGACTAGGACTCCAAAGCTAAAAACATCCGATTTAGTCGAGAAAATTCCATCTATTGCATACTCTGGAGACATGTACCCACTGCATTAAATTTCAACGCACAAATACAGAGTCAGTTACTAAAATTAGCCACTAAATATAGGCATCAGAATATGGAAAATATTTCGTATGCTGAGAAAAGGCACTTACTAAGTCCCAACTACACGTCTCGTCTTTTCCAGGAATTGATCTCCTCCGAAAGCCCTAGCCATGCCAAAATCTGATATCTTTGGGTTCATTTCACTATCCAGCAACACATTGCTAGCTTTTAGATCCCGATGAATTATTCTCAATCTTGAGTCGCGATGTAAATATAAAAGTCCCCTTGCAACACCAACAATGATATCGAACCGCCGCCTCCACACAAGAGAATTACCTGCTCTATTACCTGTAAGTTTATTTTTTTTGGGCCAAATGACCACAGGAAATAATTCACAATTAAAAGTCATAAACCAACTTTAAACAGGAGCAATCCTATCTGAAAAGAAAAGTTTCAAGTTAACAACTACATATTGACACTGAGTTGAGGTCCTAGGAACAAACCAAATATTATTGAGTCAAGGCTTCCGTTCGGCATATATTCATATGCTAACATCCTTTCTTCTCCATCAATACAGCATCCCAATAGCTTGACAAGATTTCGGTGTTGAAGTCTCGCAATCAACAGGACTTCATTCTTGAACTCATCAAAGCCCTGTCTCGAGTTCCGCGACAGCCTCTTGACAGCTATTTGAACTCCATCGGACATTAGACCCTGAGATATTTACGCTCATTGTTTAAGACAAACACTCAAAACGACGAAGCTGAAATCAAATATCTATGTCTAATTCGGTATGTACATATGCACGACTTCTTTTCTTTATACATATTGCTATTACTGAAAAGGTCCTTACCTTATAGACTGGACCAAAACCGCCCTCTCCAATTTTATTCAGAGAGGAAAAGCTATTAGTCGCTTTAGTAATGTCCTCCAAGTCAAGTATAGGCAGCTCTAAGTTGTTTTCACTCACAGATTGCACCTCTGATTTTTGCCCTGCTGAAAATTGTCGAAGACTTGTGTAAGGAAAAGAGGCTTTTGCAGTATATCTGCTCGAAATTGTTTGGTCCACTTTGTTTTTTTCAGGAAAAGATCTTCTTGAATTTTGAATAGGTATGAACTTAAGTTGATCCATGGGCTAATTGAAGTCCTCATCTATATGAACCTCCAATTTATTGCTGCAACAATACCAGTGAATTCTGATTCTAATATTCTTACAAAGTGAGCATCAAAGATGCCGAGTGACATATATATTGTTAAAAATGCCTATAGGAAACTGAACAGTTGCACTGGAGATTACTAAACAAGGTCAATATTTGCCGAGGTAGAAAGACATTTTACCTCTAAGTTTTCTCGTTCTCCTCCCCCAGAAACAAAGTAGCAGAAAAATGGGTTGAGAGAGCAATGTGGCAACTACTGCCACCACCAACCACATTTTCGTCATATGATTGCCTACGACCCACAATGTCAGAGAAATTTAAGGAACAGCTTGGGAGACAACAAGATGGAGACAAAGACTACTTAACTGAATTCGAACATACCTAGGTCCGATTCCATGACCCGGATAAAAACATCCTGATTGCTTCTTGATTCGACAAGCTTTCTGATGTCGAGAAGATCTTCAAACCAAAGGATACATCCGCTTCCCTTGCCGCTAATGTCCGAATTGGCATATGCGGTGCAAGTACAATTTTCCAGGCACTTAGCTCTACATTCATCGAGGCTCGTGTTTGTGTTCACCCAGTAACTCAACATATCAGGAACCTTCACGCCCTTCAGCTTCTTGAACCCTTCTCCTTTAGGACAATTCAGGGGCTTCTTCTTAACGCACCCGCTGGACCAAACGAGCATCGCCCAATCCTGGGGTGACTTCGGGGTGTACCCGGTCAGGCAGCTGCATATCCGGAGGTCACCGATTGTGCACAGAGCATTAGGCCCGCATTTCGCATACTCATCGCAGGAATCATTCGGCAGCTCATATATGACGGTCCACTGCGTGTTATCATTCCAGACACAGCATTGGACCGTGCCAGAGTGGCTGAGCAAGACCCTCATCATGGTGGACTCGTTGATGAGTTGAAAGGTATTGTACACTTCTTGAGCAGTCGTCACGACCTGGTCATAGATGATCGCATTCGGGATCATGGGCACTCCACTGAACTTAATACCATTCCATGGCCCGCTTCGTTGAATTATTGAAGCATTCCTGCGGAGGAACTTCTGTGGTAGTCCCTGGAGTTCGAGCGTGAATGTGATGTCTCCTGTAGAAGGATCGTCCGAATCCCTCCAGGAAGTCAGGTAGCCATTCAACCCGATCCTCAGGTCCCATTTTAGCTTCATACCCGCGAGGAGCGTATTGGAAGGATGATCAAAACTCTGCCACAGGAAATTCCCTGAACCGTTGTGGCTTTCATCTGTCAGGACCAGATTACCGGAGTCCAGGAGCTGCGCAGCCACGTTATTGGAAGCCACATTCACAGTCTTCGTGGACCAAACGGCTCTTCCCGTTCCATCGATGATGACTAGATTCCCTCCTCTCCCAATCTGCAGGAGTCCTGACGAGCCGTTGATTGGATTGTCTCTATTTGCAACCCAGACAATGGTCTTTACCGGGATGTTGTAGAACCAAACCCCAACATACCGGTTGGACGAATTTCCAGGGGTGAAGAATCCGAGCTCGAACTTTGCTCCCGCCGACACAAGAGTCTCATTATCTCTCACCGGTTGAGACAGAGTTATTGTGACAGCAGGTTTGCTGAGTGCTGCTGTTGAAAGCAAAGTGATGAAAATGAAGAAGTGAAGAGGAGAGGGAAGAATCTCCATCGAAGAAACAGAACCCAGATAGTGAATTATATGTAATCATGTGGCTCAGGCTTGGAGTTTAGTCGGATTTATGTTCTTTCAAACATGGTTGATGGTTTCTAACCCCCCAAAGAAACCATGGTTGGCGCTTACAGCGGAGGGAAGTTCTCTAGAAAGATGGTTGCAAGGACAGAGGAAATTTCTCTAGAAAGATGGTTGCAAGAAACAGACGTAAATATAATTCCTGCAGCGGTTTTAGTTATTCAGAAAAGTCTGAAAGTATCAGAAAGAATTATTCCAACCGAAATTGATTTGAAAGTGGGGTGTAGATATACATAGCCTTTGGTGGAAGACCAAGTGAAAACTTTTGTTGGATGAATCCCAGAGACAGAGTACACACATGGATTAGATTCGTTATTGGTTTAGTCGGCATAGAACGGAATATGTGTGGTTTGGGCCCATCACAATATGGTGTTTGGATTACTCAGATTGGTTGTATTTAGACCCGTAGGGTCGAAATGATTTGACTCAAATTGACCAATTTAAACCCGTTTTAACTCATTTTCATGCAATACAAATCTACCGACATGTATCCGACACATATCCGACCCGATCCATATTGGCTAAACTACTCAATATTTAACTGAATCCAAATTGAGGTGAGAGCACAGAGCAAGCAACATGAGATCGAGTGAGGGCGAGAGAGAGTCATAAAGGTGAGTTGGGTCTAAGTAAGTTGTGGACCCGTTTAACACCTATATTATTTTGAGTTTTACCATACTAAATCCATTTATGACCTATTTATAAGATATAACTACCTCATATAACAATGTAGCCTATTAAATATGGATTAAGAAATTGATTTATGACCCATTCTGTCAGATTTAGCTATGATTCACATTCGATCTGATGCATGAGGTCCACCTTTTGGCCCACGCCCCACGGACACTATAAACACGGATGGTGGAGTAATTGGCACGAGTCAAAAAGGGCTCCAATATTTTCCACATTTTGGCTTTTACTAGAATGTCACTTTTTCTCGTAGAATTAGAAGAATCCTACACGTACAGTGCAAGCTATAGGGCAAGGGTTGGTGGCAACGCGGGATGGCGACGATGACTAAACTGTCACGTCGGAGATTTTCGTCGAAAATTGCATGAAAGATTATATTGAAGATTCGCACAAAGATTTAGGACTAAATTGACAAAATTAAAAAATTTAGAACTGAATTGATATCCGTACAATAAGTTTAGAACTGATTAAATAATCTTTCTTGATTACGTCTCTAGTTGAAATGAAACTTTATAAATATATCATCAAATTGAACATTGACTAAGAATACAGGAATTATTTTATATTGTTTGACGGAAAAATAAATGAATATGCACAACTCTGCGGAACTGATGGTGTAAACTTGCAGTTCTGAAAATAGAGGGTGCTAAGTTGTAAAGTTGTGAAAAGACAAGTATGTCTTGGGTATAATCTCACAATAAAGCCAAAATTATGGGACGCAAAATTCTGTATCCTGCACATTATAATTTTTTTTACTGGTGCTCTGAAAAATATATACGGGTGATGCATGTATTCTCAAATGTTTTTTTTTAAACGAGATTCACAAGTATCCACCGTGTTCACACTTAAGTTTCGCCTGTAGATCCAGGCGTAAAAATGATATTGCCATAAACTAACAAGGTGTTATTTCCATTTAGATTAATACCACAGAAAACTCTAAACCGGTACACCTGTGATAAATTTTTCGCAAACTAATTTTTTTATCACAAAAAATACTAAACTTGTACACCTATGACAAATTTACCCTAAACTAATTTTTTGATCACAAAAAACCATAATCGGTACGCTTATAAGAATTTACCCTCCTTTTAATTAGATTAATACCATGAAAATCACAAATTGGCAAATCTGTGACAAACGAAAGGGTAAAACCCTAAACTGGTACATCCGTCAACTGTCACGTGTTATCCAACTTAGAAATTTAACAGTAAAATTTAACAGAAAGTAACGAATGGTAAATTTGTTACAAGTATACTAGTTTGAGGTTTTTGGTGGTCAAAAAATTAGTTTGGGATAAATTTATCACAGGTTTATTAGTTTGAGATTTTTCATGGTATTAACCCTTTCCATTTATTCATAAAGAGGCATATCATTTGAAGCCGGAATTAATTTTCCTTGATATATGATAAAATGCATGAAAGGATCCTTGAAGAACCATAAGATGCACCGAAAATCATTATCAAAGAAGACTTTGATAAAATGATCTATTTTTACATAAAAATATATTCGCTAAAAAAAATTTCAAAATGCATTTTCTAAAAATTAGGGATCGAATCCCCCGATAATGGCGCAATGTGACTCCTAACCAACGAAGTGATTTTACATAGTCTTGCACTCATTTATTCGCTGCTTTCCTCTGCATTTCGAAACTATAGACATTGTAGTTTGATGATATCTAAGTTTCCATTTGCATAGGCTATTCATGCATTATATAGTTTATAGAAACTAGAGACTTTTTAGTTTATAGATACCTAAGTTTCCCCTCCTATGGATCACTCATGCATTTTACAAAAATTAGGGATTGAATTTGCCGTTACCGGCAGAATTCGACCCTAACAGACAAAAAGGAGGTCCTGCACCCACATTCTCTATGCATATCGCTGCCTTTACAAACTATAGACCTTGTAGTTTTAGGATCTCAAACCCTAGGTCGAGAATTAATAGTTATGCATGCATTTTGTAAAAATTAGGGATTGAATCCAATGGTAACGGCGTAATTCGACTCCTAACCAAAAACAGCGGTCTAGCACAATCCTGCATTCCCATTTCTTACTGTATTACTCTACATTTAGTATCTAGAGACATGGTAGTTTTTGGACCTCAGGCCCTAGGCCAAGAATTGGAGATCATCCATACATTTCATGAAAAATTAATGATCAAAATCGCCAAAAATGACGGGATTTGACCCCTAACCAAAAACGTCGATTTTGCATAATCGCGCACTCACATTCTCTATTGTATTTCTCAGCTTTTCATAGCAAGGGTCATTATAATTTCAGTACCCTGAACCTAATGTCAAAAATTTAAATCTACCGGGGCTAACGATACAACCTATGGGGTGAATAGGGCTGTCGAAATGGGTCACAAATTCATATTTTAACTCATATTTATAAAAATCGATCATAAATGGATCAGCTTAAACTTATAATATGGGTCAAAACGGGTTTTAAAGAAAGAAAAAAAGGCCAAAAAACATGGGCTTTAGTGGGTTAAGTTATAAACCCACTTTCAACCCAAACTACTCCCTTCTCTTTCCCCCCTCTGCAGACGAAGCAGCAGCACCACCGCTCCTCGCCTCTCTCTCGCCCTCGATTCTCCGCCGCCCCCTTCTCCGCTTCTTCCGTCCCTACGCCTCCGGTCGTCTCCCGGTTGCACTCGCCGCCGCCGCCGCCGCCGCGAGACTTCGTCCCCAGTCGAATGATGTCGCTATTCGAGGACGACGACGACGACGACGACGACTGAGTCGACTCGGGCTGAGCCGACGGCCGCTCGACCCGGTGGGAACCTCCTCGAGGACGCGGTGGGGCTCCAACGCTTCCGCGAGTAGAAGTGGCCGCCGACGAAGATCTCAACCCGGGTGAGGGCGTGATCCGGGATCGGGGGTGACCAGCGCGACGCGAAAGATCCGGACTCGAGTGAGGAAGAGAGGAGCTTCAGGATGTAGAAATGGAATGGTGTCGCCGAGAGAGCCACCGACTGTTGCCTTGAACAAGAAGAGAGAGAGAGAGAGAGAGAGAGAGAGAGTGAGTAGCTGAAGAAGATTGAAGATGGAGATTTACATGGAAGAAGAGAGAGCAAGAGGCATCCAGAGGAGAGACAGATGAAAGAGAGAGAGAGAGAGGGGGAGGTGTACGGACAATATTTTGTGTTTATTCGATTTTTCCTTTTTTTTAAGGAAAAAAAAAGGAATGCCATTGTAATTATAATTTTCACGTCGGATTTATCCAAAAATAAAACATATGTTTCGCTGGATGCATGATTGATGGCATTATCCAAAAATTAAAACATGTTTCAATTTATAGGTTTTTTTACATTTTTTATTTTATTTACTAATTTTTTATTGCTTAATATGATGTGAAGTTTTTATTCATAAAATATATACATGTGAAAAGCTTAAAATAAGTTAAATGGGTGGGTATGAGTTTTCCTAAACTATTAATGTGTTTTGGTAATACAGGTCAGGTCGGGTATGGGTCGAGTACGGGTCAAGTCGGGTATGGATCATAAAAATTACATTGCGTGAAAATGGATCAAAACGGGTTATATGGGTCAATATGGGTCGGATCATATTCGACCCGACCCAAACCCGATCCGACTCGATCCACCCATTTTACGGCTCTACTTCGGACTAATGCTCCTAGAGATTGTGTGCGGCAAAGAACACTAGCTTAGATTCCCACGGACAGCATCTCAATCTCCTCATTTACGTAAGCGCAACATCTAATAGACAACTAATATCTCTCTGTTTTGGTGATTGGTCGTCCCTACCTACTTCTAGAAAAATTTAACAATCGTACCATTCTTGCCGGTGTGGCAATTGTCGAGTGGAGGTAGATCACGCACCTAATGGACGAGGCGATTGCGTATGCCTTCTCACCGTCAGAGGCAATTCGATGCATTCACGTAGGGCTTCTCTACGTGCAGAACCATGCTGTGGATAGGCCCAACATGTCACAATTGGTTCTGATGCTAAGCAGCGAATCGGATCTTCCTCGGCCGAAACAACCCACATTTACCTTTCAAAGCTTAAAAACTCATGATATCCAGTCATCACAACAACAAAGTAATTGGTCCGCAAACGCCATCACTGACACTGTCGTTGAAGGTAGATAATCGATTGTCGTCTTCTGTAAAATTAGTATTTATGTATAGATTGGAATGGCTTGCATCTACATTCTGTTCTAAGGATGAACGGACAGTTCATTTTTTGTGGGATTTGTCATTCAAACAGCTACATGATTTAGTGGGTTTGGCTTTTAGCTGTCTGATAGGCTGATTGAATAAACTATTTGAATCCAAAACCTAAACTTAAACTTCGATTACATTATGGACACAAATGGGTAAATTAGCACAGATAGTTCAAGCAGAACCGCCCTGCAAGAACCACTAGTCAACTTCAAGTGCATCATTGAAGCGAAAACACTTTATAATCCGGCCAAGATCGTCATCAATAACTACATTTACAATTTTCTTTAACCAATCTGCTAAAAAGCCCAGAAAAGCAACAATGGTTGCTTCACTTCAGTGTACCGTCATTCTGGAAGCACCATCACTGAAAATGATGGGAAATGAAAGAACCTTTGAAGATGCAGTCGGAGCGATTGTTCGATTTCGCGACGTCCAAGCAACTCGATTTGGCAAATTACTAGCCACATCAAAAAGGCATTTTCTGGACCGAACTTCATCTGTTGCGGTCATAGCATAGCTCCTGGAATAATATGTGTAGCTCTTTCCGCGGAAACAAATGAAATTAATACATAAAAACACTTGCCCTGAATCTATTTGAATTGAGTCCATTCCGATTCAGACATTCGATTGCACAGACTCTCCGCATTTGAAGCTTACGTGAACTGGGTCCGAATTCAGACAAGAATTTCTAGATAGTACATGTTTCAATAAAAAAACAGACACTCCTTCAAAAGTGGCAATACATTGCTTGAAATTAGGCCCGTCAAATGATTAGATCGGGTTGAATTGACCCGAATTGACTCATTTTCATGCAATTCAATTTTAGCGACCTAAATTAGATCCAACCCGACTCCCCCATTAGACATGCACTATGTTTTCTTTGTTTGAATATTAGTCAAATAGTCACCACCAAAGTTCCCACATCTGTTGCCCTAGGCTAGGCTAAGAAAGTTGAGGGTCATTCCGGTTCAGGTTTCCCATCATAGCTTTACTGTTACAGCACGTTTGCTACGAAAGAGCCGACCCACTCAAAAGTGTTCTACCGTTTAATTGGCGCACGTTGACTTTAGCAGCATGATCAATATGACTGATTCCAGATTGATGGCTTATGTAATGATCTGTAGCATCCAATCTGAACTCCTCACTCTCGTACAAAAACATATCGTGTGAACTCATTTTGCACACCCATCGTGTGAACTCATTTTGCACACCCTTCGTTCTCGCTCCGTATGCGATGGTGCCGTTACACATCGTATCGAAAGTTTGATTTTTAGTGAAGCCGCAGATGCTGCCTCGTGATTGGCGAGGGCGTAAAAGTATTGATCAGGATCTCGTTGACTTGTGCCTTATGAATCCAATCCCCCCTCTTTTCCTTGCTCTCTAACGACCCTTTCCCCAAAAGCGTCAGATTCTCTCTCTCTCCCTCCCAGTCAAACCACAACCATAGAATAGTGATATAGGATCCGTTGCAGAAATTGAAATGCAGTTGATCGACAGGGGAGAGTAGCAGAGGAGACAAAATGAGAGTGCTGAGGCGAGGGGTTTGGTCGGTGGGCAAATCCTTGCATTGGACCCGCGTACATGAGGATCATGTGGGACTCACCTATACACACTGAGGCCCCACTCATCAGAAACTTCAAGTTACTTTCCTTTTATTCTCCCCGTTACTTTCTCTGTTCTCGCACGTTCTCTTCTTCTTCTTCTTCCTCACCCTCGCCGCCGCGTGATCCATCTCGCCCCTCGACACCTTCGCGGCCGCGCGCGATCCTTCGAGCTCGCGCTGCTCAATCAAGCCTCAAATCTCGGTCCGTAGGGGTCATCCTTTTGCGTGTTGAAGCCATGACGGGCTATGTTCGTGTAAACAGGGCAAGCGTTTCCAGGTGAGACACCCTCGTCGCCACGAGATCTTTCGTCGTCGAACAACTCGCGTCGATTTTTGACCACGCATGGGTCAAATTCTGATTAATAGACGTAGCGTATTTTGTCTATTCATCAATTCTTGTTCTGGCCAGAGTGCGGAATCAAGATTCAACCGACACACAGAACTCGCTAGGGTCGTTCAGTCATTCTTATTATGCCACTTATGATTAGTTGGTGCTCTTGCTTGGTCTTCTTCATCCTACTTCAGGCAAGTCAAATAGCCAGGGGCGTGGTTCGCAATATTACGACATCGGAGCCCCTCTTCCCGAACCAAACTCTCGTCTCCCCTGGCCAAATCTTCGAGCTTGGGTTCTTTACGCCGAATGGCTCAGGAAATCAGTATGTTGGGATATGGTACAAGAACTTCACCCCTTCTAAAATCGTGTGGGTGGCCAATAGGGAAATGCCGCTCGTGTACACGGATCAGTCTGCAAAATTAACCATAGGCAGTGATGGGAATTTGAAGCTCGTGGATGGACAACAGAATATAGTTTGGTCTACCAATGCCTCTGGTCGGTCTGATTATACGTCAGCGGCGCTATTAGATAGTGGAAATTTTGTACTGCAAGATGCAAATTATAGTGAAATATGGGGAAGCTTCGACAATCCGACAGACACTCTTCTTCCAAACATGAAGGGGGTAGTAAATGCCAGGACTGGGGAGAAACACTACTTAATTTCCTGGAGAAGCGACAGTGATCCGTCCCCCGGAAGTTTCTTGACTGGGATGACATCGGAGACGCCGCCTCAACCTTTCACTTGGAATGGTTCAACCCCTTACTGGAGAGGCGGGCAATGGGACAAATTGAAATTTATCGGAATACAAAACATGGGCCAATTGTACTTGAGTGTGATCGATATCCGGCAAGATATTCAGCAGGGGACCACTTACTTCTCGTACGATAATTACAAGTACCCGTTCTTTGGATACATGTTTGTTTCGCCTGGAGGATCTTTTAAGATCGTGTATTGGGATGTTGGAGCAAAGGTGTGGTTGACATACTGGGCGGGACCGAACAATACTTGCGAGATTTATGGAACTTGTGGTCCATTTGGAGTTTGTAACTCAATAAATTTTCCTATTTGCAGATGCTTAGATGGGTTTGTGCCAAAGTCAAATGAAGAATGGAACAGTGAAAACTGGACTGGAGGATGTGTAAGAGAGACAGAATTGAATTGCCAGAAAAACACAAGCACATCGGCTTCAACAATCGTAAAGAATGATGTCTTTTGGCAAATGAGCCGGATGAAACTACCTGACTCTGGGGACTATTTATCAGGCATTCGAGATCAAGAAGGATGTTTAAGCTGGTGCCTGAGCAACTGTTCTTGCATGGCTTATTCTTATGTCAGCACCATCGGGTGTATGGTTTGGACTAAAGAAGACCTCATCGATCTTGAGGAATTTTCCACGGCTGGAGAAGATCTATTTGTTCGAGTTGCACATGTAAAAGCAGGTCAGAAATGGTTTCATTGAGATGCGTTTGAGTCGACATCAATCGTCTTTTACATAACTCTCTTTCCCTTTTCAGGAGGACCGCCACATAAAGCAGTTATCATCAGCCTGAGTACTGTTGCCGGGATCATGTTCTTTGCAGTATTTGTTTTTGGTCTTTGCAAATGGAGAGCCAAGAAAATAGGTACTATTAAAGAGCCACGTCAGTGTTTTCAGAGGATTGTTCTTCTATTTTGTTTGATCTTCCATCGCTATGAAGATAGTAATCTGATTCTTCACCAATAATAAACACAGGAAACTTTCGAAAAATTTTAAGGCTCCTTGACTCGGTAGATAAACCTGAAAAGCCGGGCGAACAGCTTAAAGGAAATGCATGGAAAGAGCAGTTGAAGCAAGATGATGCACTGGAATTGACCCTTTTCAGTTTTGATAGCATACTGCTTGCTACAAACAAGTTCAGCACGACAAGTAAGCTCGGGCAAGGAGGGTTTGGCTCTGTTTATAAGGTAAATCCATTCTGCAGGACATCCGTTAAATGAAAATATAGTGATAATTCAAGGTCTAAAAGCTATGTGATTTGCAAAATAGGGAAAGATGAATGATGGGAAAGAGGTAGCTGTGAAAAGACTTTCCAATAGCTCGGCCCAAGGCATTCAAGAATTCAAGAATGAGATCGTCCTAATATCGAAACTCCAACATCGAAATCTTGTTAAACTCATTGGTTGCTGCACTGAAGGAGATGAAAAGATTTTGGTGTACGAGTACTTGCCGAACAAAAGCTTGGACACCCTTCTTTTTGGTTGGCTTTTTCTCTCCGAATAACTATTTTTTGGTAATGGATTTTTCGAAATAGCACTAAAACTTGAAAAGTGTTCTTGTTTGTCATGTTTGTTAGATTCAAGAAAGAAGGCAGAACTCGACTGGGGCAAACGATTCCAAATTATTGAGGGAATTGCAAGGGGGCTTCTCTACCTCCATCGAGATTCTTGCCTTAGGGTCATACACCGTGACTTAAAAGTGAGCAACATTCTTTTGGATGAAAATATGAACCCGAAAATTTCAGATTTTGGGCTGGCACGGATGTTCGAGGGCACTCAAGTTTTGGTGAACACTCACAAAATTGTTGGAACACTGTAAGTTCTCTAGCCCTACTTGAATTATCAATCCCTTGAGTCAATCTTTTGAAGCAGACAGAAATGATTGATTTACCACAACGACCATGTCACTTTATATATGTTTCATGCCGTTGTCCTTGAATACAATTAAAGAGTACATAATATGTTCAACTCAATGCAGTGGCTATATGTCTCCTGAGTACGCCATGGGCGGGATATTTTCTGAGAGGTCTGATGTCTATAGCTTTGGAGTGTTGCTACTGGAGATCGTTAGTGGCAGAAAGAACACGGTCCTGTATGATCAGGGATATCTCAATCTCCTTTCCTACGTTAGTGCCAAATTCAAACCTTAATCGTTATTGTAAGTTCCCTGCAATATTATGACAGTCTTCTCATGTAGGCATGGCAATTATGGAGTGAAGGCAAAGCATTGGACCTAATGGATGAAGCAATTGATGTTAGCTTTCCATTGGAGGTAACAAGATGCATCCACGTTGGGCTTCTCTGTGTTCAGGACCATGCCATGGATAGACCAAACATGACGAATGTGGTTCTGATGATAAGCGGTGAATCAGATCTTCCTCAGCCGAGACAACCTATATTCACTTTCCAAACTGAAATGCCAAATCGTGCTATTCCATGGCAGCAAGAAAGCATCTGGTCTGTTAATACTGTCACTAATACAATGGTCGAAGGAAGATGATAGCTATCTTTCTTCATTTTTATTTTCCTTTGCTGGCAGATGATTTTGTTGTTATATTCCAAGGCATTAGTGTTTATTCGATTCAAGAATGGCTTTAGTCTGCTCAATGCAAAAGGTTGAATGACCTGCTCCACTTTTACATGGATTTTAGGCTGTAAAGCAGGGGCTTGGAATAGCCAGAACTGTTGGTATTATGAAGGGAAACTACCAAGTAATCACCATGAGGTCTCATCACAGTTGCGTTATGATGATTTTATTTTATGGCCTTTTAGATAAAAGACATCATTATTAAAGCTAGACTAAAGTTCCCAAATAAGAATAATCGTGACTATTGGCACAACAAAAGTATGGGAAAATTTCAAATAAGGACCTGAAATACCCTCATTTTCTCAAATAAGAGCCTGAAGTGGACATTGTCTCAAATAAAGGCATGAAGTGCCAAATTGTGTCAAATAAAGGCCTAAAGTGGCCAAATTGTCTCAAATATGGATTGTGACCGGCCGGTGACTATTCCGGTCATCGTGGTTTAGTAAAAAAAATATTTAAGTATATATTTTTTAAAAAATTGATTTTTTTACTTTCTTTTTCTTTTCCTTTCTTTTTTTTCTTTTTCTCTCTTCCCACCTTGGCCGTCGCTAGCGACCTCTGCTGGCCTCAGGTGAGGGCTGCCCTTGTTGGCATCGAGCGAGGGTTGCTCTCGCCTAGGCGGGCGAGGAACACCCTTGCTCGACCCATTCCTCACCAGTTTGGGCAAGAGCCACCCTCGCCGGCATTGGCCAAGGTGATTCCTCACCAGTTTGGGCGAGAGCCGCCCTGGCAATGGGAAAGCATCTTCTCCATGAACACCATCACGAATTCTGGGGTCGATGGAAGATGATTATCAACATCTTTTTTGTTTTCATACACTTGTAATGTTCTGTGCTGAAAGGTCAGCGTTTTTTTTTTTAAGTTTAGCGTTCACTCGATTTGAGAGACTTAAAAATTAACGTTCCCATGAAGTAATGATCGAAATTCTGCATTTTTATTTGCACACAGATTTTGCAATATGAATGTGTATGTCATGACAGGCAACTTTCAGATCTCCTACCGGAAGTGGGATTTATTGAACAAAGGCAATTATTCAGGTGAACCTCTGAGAATCTCTGAGTATTCAAGTGAATCCCTGAGAATCAAGTTGACCCGTATTTCGAATAAGCGTGTCCAGGTTCGTTGGTGTGGCATTTTCTGTACGAGCCATAAGACTTTTTCCCCTTGACAGGGACTTGAAACAATTAGTTATCTTGTGAATGACAAAAGACTAAGCAACTCCTGGGAGGTTACATGCGACCGACTAACCAGCCTTTCGAAAAACTTTTAGCCATTTCATATTCTAAGCTTGGCATAGGTTGAAAAATGAATTCTAAAGTTGGTAGGATTGCCAGGCTTTTAAGAAAACATTGTCAGCTCTAGGCCTTGGAGCCATTTGACAATCTACAATTGAATTTGAGTGCCAGGTATTGTTTGACTGGACTGCAGGAATTTTTCTAGGAAAAACCGGAACCATAACCTGCTCAATACTGGGCTTCGTATCTCTATTGGGATTCTTTCATTACAGTCGTGTATAGAGATTTGAAGGTGCGCAACATCAATCCCAAATTAGGTTATACATGTTGACCTGGCATGGATGATTATGTTAAAAACCACATATGTGATGTGGCATGGCAATGTCGGTCCATGTAGCTCAGAACCTTTTTTTTTGGGTACGATTTTAGAGATGGCTCCCAAAGATATGAGAGGTGACTTGTGCGCAACACTCCTGTTGCTGTAACGACTTAGTCCGACGAGGGCAAGGAGTGGTCACCAGGGCTAGATGGCTTGGACAAGGAGTGGTTTCTAGCATGCTTTTAGGATGGTGAATGGGGCAGAAATTAACCAAACTATGCATTAAATAGGGGGAGAGCGATTCTAAGATATATGTTGCGGAAGCAAGCAATCGAACGAAAAAATTGACCGAATAAGAATATAAATCGGATACTAGATTTACGTAGTTCGATTATAGTGACCTACGTTCATGGAAAGAACAGCAACGAATTCCACTATAGATCAAGCATACAACGGAGATTACAACCGCAAACACTCTCAGTGATTCCCAAGTCTCAATTACACCAAATAACTCACCAAATAATTCACGTAGTGTTTAATCCTACAATTTCTCACGAAATAATCTCTCAATCTCATAAAGGAATTAACAAATCTTGTACAAGATTCAATCCGCTACAAACACTCGAACCCTTGAATGTAATTTGTCATAGAAAGACCCATGAAACTCACTGTCAAGCACTTGTCTCGGCGCTTCAAGTCTTCTCTGGACATGGAAGGCACGAAGACCATGCTCTGCACTCATCAACCGTTGCCATCCAAGGTGTAACGACCTGGGTCCCACTCGCAAGATATTGTCCGCTTTGGACACTAAGTCCTCACGGTTTTGTTCTCCGAGGGCAGCCTATACTACCCCCAGAAAAGGCCTCTTGCAAGTTAAGGCTTCCCAAGCCCTTATAAACTAGCCCATGACTCCCCCCCTAAGCGATGTGGGACAAGAGACATGCCCCCCCTTGCCATCCTAGAAGCCTGCCAGGAGTCGCTCCTTGTCCAGGCCCTCTGGCCCCGGCGACCACTCCCCGCCCTCGTCGGACCGGATCGTTACATTCTCCCCCCCTTTGGGCACAGCGTCCCCGCTGTGGCCCCACACGCGGTCGGGAGTCGGCTCTGATACCATTTGTAACGACCTGGGTCCCACTCGCAAGATATTGTCCGCTTTGGACACTAAGTCCTCACGGTTTTGTTCCTCCGAGGGCAGCCCATACTACCCCCAGAAAAGGCCTCTTGCAAGTTAAGGCTTCCCAAGCCCTTATAAACTAGCCCATGACTCCCCCCCTAAGCGATGTGGGACAAGAGACATGCCCCCCTTTGCCATCCTAGAAGCCTGCCAGGAGCCGCTCCTTGTCCAGGCCCTCTGGCTCCGGCGACCACTCCCCGCCCTTGTCGGACCGGGTCGTTACATTCTCCCCTCCTTCGAGCACAGCGTCCTCGCTGTGGCCCCACACGCGGTCGGGAGTCGGCTCTGATACCATTTGTAATGACCTGGGTCCCACTCGCAAGATATTGTCCGCTTTGGACATTAAGTCCTCACGGTTTTGTTCCTCCGAGGGCAGCCCATACTACCCCCAGAAAAGGCCTCTTGCAAGTTAAGGCTTCCCAAGCCCTTATAAACTAGCCCAGGACTCCCCCCCTAAGCGATGTGGGACAAGAGACATGCCCCCCTTGCCATCCTAGAAGCCTGCCAGGAGCCGCTCCTTGTCCAGGCCCTCTGGCCCCGGCGACCACTCCTCGCCCTCGTTGGACCGGGTCGTTACACAAGGTGTCCACAACAGCACATATTATATCTGCCCAAGAGTTGACCGAATCATGGTCCAAGATGGAGATTTACATGGAAGGAGAGAGAGAGCAAGAGAGAGAGGGAGGTGTACCGACAACATTTTGTGTTTATTCGATTTTTCCTTTTTTTTAAGGAAAAAAAAAGGAATGTCATTGTAACTTTTCATTTTTGACTTTGTTTCTCTTTTATCGGTTTTTACGCATAATTATAATTCTCACGTCGGATTTATACAAAAATAAAACATATGTTTCACTGGATGCATGATTGATCGCATTATCCAAAAATTAAAACATGTTTCAATTTATAGGTTTTTTACATTTTTTATTGCTTAATATGATGTGACGTTTTTATCCATAAAACGTATACATGTGAAAAGCTTAAAGTAAGTTAAATGGGTGGGTATGAGTTTTCGTAGAATATTAATGTGTTTTGGTAATACGGGTCAAGTCAGGTATGGGTCGAGTACGGGTCGGGTCAGGTCGGGTATGGGTCATAAAAATTACATTGCGTGAAAATGGGTCAAAACGAATTATATGGGTCAATATAGGTCGGACCATATTTGACCCGACCCACCCATTTGACGGTCCTAGGGGTGAATAAGTTATTTGAAAACTTTAAGAAATTCTCGTGGAAGTTAGCAAGATATAGTTTGACAGTTGCAGAAATAGATTGAAAGTATCAAGCAAGCAAGTTCTATCGGACAGTTATAGGTAATAATGAGCAGATAGAAAATAGCACCAAAGATTTATAGTTGTTCAATTTTATCTCCAAGCTTAAATCCATTCTTCACACTATCAGGTTTAACAGTGGTTGAGATCCATTAATAATTTTTAAGAGATACTCCAATTAGCAAGTACTGGTTTTATCACATGATAGATTACACTATCAGAACACAAGTACTACTATCACACTTGTACAAATCTCATATCACTAATAACAACGCAACAAAGACTCTACAAAGCATGAATATCAAATATACAGTAGCACAACTAGTTTGTGATAGATAAACGGATGTAATAATGGAGTAACTTTATTTTCAGTCCAACCCTTCCAACTGCTTCGATCCTCTTTATATAGAAGTTCAACCTCCAATCCAACTGCTGGAGATAGTTCTGAAGAGTTAAGAGCCGTTGGGAGTTGATTGGAGCAATTGCCGAGATTCGGATCGCCCATATAACCTTTTTCCTCTGACAATAGCATGGTTTCGTGACATGGAGTCTGATGGTATTGTTACACATCAACTATTTAGTATGATGGTTTGACCAAAATTGGCAGAGTTGTCCGACTCGTCTCCAGTCCTCTTGCCACAGGTTCCCAGCTTGCTAACGACTAGTTCAACGGCCATATTAAGATGATTTTTTTATCAGCACCTTCTAGGAATTGACATTTGCATGATATGTTGCTCCTTATCACTTGATAGTAGCACATCCTCTTGCTAGCATTTCGTTGGTGTTGTCCACCATTTTCCTTGTGGAATGACTTGCCGTCCATTATCCAATGGTCCCCTTGAGCATATCAATATACAAAAGCTTTTCTTAGATGATCACCTTATTATGGTACCTCCAAGTCCTTATGAGCAACTCGTCATATCATACTTGTTCACCTCTTATCGAGATTCTCATCCTTGTAAACGTCCTTCTCTGTACTTACATGGACCATCAATATTATCACAATCTTCCTAAAATTATCATCACTTCAACATGAAGAACATTTGCAATCATCAAGTAGATTTTAAACCAATGATAGTTTGGGATCATGAAAATGCCATAGGGAGTTTTCCCAACAATCTCACCTTTTTTTTATGATGACAAAACTACCTTGCAAATGTGATAT